CTCTTGGTGGTTGCCTGAGTTCGGAATGGGTGCATGCTATTTCCACTAGATACTTTCTTAAATCCAGTTAATGATCTCACTGTGTTCTCCACAGTGCTGATATGTTGAACTACATTGCTTATATGTACGAGTAACAACCAGTCCAGTCTTACTTTCATAAAGTGTGAAGACTTCATTTACTTATACATTACTAGAGAGTTAATTGCAAAGAACTACAGGTGCAAATAACAGACGCCTTCAGCACCTTGTGTTTGGTTTTGATATCAGGTCCTGCTGACTTCAAAAGTGATCAAAATTTGTCTGCCAACTTCCCCTCTTTACCATGTTATCAAGCTTACATGATACCCTACCAGGAAGCCCAGTGGGTGTGTAGATGTTAAAAGTCAGTTTTTATTAGACATAACACAGTAAAGTTTGTTTCAGTTTGGCTTGAGTTTTGGTTGGTTAGCTAGTTTATCAGTTGGTTGGTTAATTGGTTGGTTTGTTAGTTGGTTGGATGGTTGTTTGTTTGTTTGTTTGTTTGGTTGGTTGGTTGGTTGGTTGGTTTGTTAGTGACTTGGTTGGTTGATTAATTGGTTGGTTGAGAAAGATTGCATTTTTTGTTGTTGTTGTTGTTGTTGAGACAAAGTCTTGCTATGTAGTCCAGGCTAGCCTTGAACTTTCAGAGATCCTCCTGTCTCTGCCTTCAAGAGGCGATATGTGCCATCAGACCCAGCAAGATTTTTTTCTCTTCTTTTCTTTGTTTTCTGTACAATATATTTAACCATATTTTCCCCTCCTCAACTTCCCCCAGATTCTCCCTACCTTCCTACATACCCAACTTTGAAAAGAAAAAGATACAAAATGAAAATCAAAACAGATGAGAAAAATAATAAGACACAAAAAATGCCAAAACAAAATGAAACAAAAAGTCCACCCCCCCCCCAAAAAAAAAGGCCTACCATGGAGTTTTGTGTTAGCCAAGTACTCTTGGGCAAGGGGCCTGCCTGGAGTGTGGCTGATATACCCAGGGACACTCCACTGGAGAGAATTGATTTCCCCTTTGCCTTCAGGTATCAATCCCAGCAAGATTTTCTAATGCTTTGGTTTCATTTTTTCCAAGGAATATACCCATTTCATCAAAGTTACTGGATCTATTGGCACACAGTTATTCACTATATACCCCTTTTATTTTTGCAGTGTTTCTGTAGAGTGTATAACAATAACTCTTTCTTAAGGCTAGAAATTAATCTTCCCATACAATATTTTAATTAGTTTATTAGCCTCTTGTGTTGCACAATAGGGGGTACAAACAGCATGGTATTGTGTGGAGGTTATTAGGCTATTATTCAGGTTTTAGACATCAAACTTGGGCTTGCAAGGCAAGGTCCTTTGCCCACTGAGCCACCTCACCAGCCCTTCTTCTCTCTTAGTCTAAGAGTTTATAGCATCACTTGCTTTTTTGCTATAGAGGAGCCAGTTTTCATCATTTTTCTCTCGTCTTTACCATCCTCATCAGGTAGTTACCTTGGGGCCTACCTTGAGCTTTTGTTTTTCTACCTTATTAAGGTAGAATTTCAGACCACTAAATTTTAGATCTCTCTCTTCTTCCTAATGGGAGGTTGGAAACTGTAATTTTCTCTTTCAGCGCTACCATATCTGCAGCCAAGAAATTTGGGTACGTTATATTTTCTATGGTATTGTTTAAGGTTCTCCTTGGTCCTTTATGATTTCTTCCTTGTTCCATAAATGATTTAGAAGTGTGTTGTTAAGTCCACAGTATTTGTGGTATCTTGATCATAATATTGTTATCAACTCCTCATCTAATTTATTTGGGGTTAGAGAATATGCTCTGCATGATTTCAAATGTTCTCAATGTCTGAGTCTCTCGTGACATACACCTATTGAAGATCCCATAACACAATGGAGAACATCATTGTTGTCATGGTGAATATGCCACATGCAACAAAAGAGTACATGGGGGCACCAATGTTGTCATGGTGAACAAGCCACCCAGAGTAGAGAAGGATGTGTGTATACCTCTGTCGCCATGGTGAACAGGCCACATACGTAGTGAAGGAGGGTGTTTGAATACCATAATTAATATGGTAAGCCTGCCAAATACAATGGAGCAGGATGCCGATGCCATTGTCATCATGGTGACCAGTACATGCCCAGTGGAGGAAGATGTGTGCTTACCACTGTTGTCCGGCAGGAGCAGCCGCACAATGAAAGATGTTTGGGTGCCACTGTTTTCATGGTAAGCATGCCACAGGCTCTGGAGTAGGATGCATGGGCACCACAGTTAACAGGTGGTTAACACACATCAGAGGAGACTATGAAGAGGTCATGATATGGTGAACACACACACACACACACACACACACACACACACACACTGGAGGAAGATGTGTTAATGTTACGGTTGCCGTGGCGCATGGGCCACATGCAGTGAGCGAAGATGTGTGGGTGCTACTCTCATTTGGGGGAATGAGCCACACATTCGGAAGAGCAATGTGTGGTCGCCCCTGATGTCATGGCGGACAAGCCACAGTCACTGGAGCGGGGACTACACGGGTGACACTGTTGAGTGAGATGCGTTACAAGGAGCCTTGAGGTTGACTTCTTCAAATACTGTGTCCTTGGCCTCTATTTCCTCGCTGGCTTTTGGTTAGTTGTTCTCTCTCTTGCTGAAGGAACTTTAATACCAACTACAATTTGGGAACTGCTATTTCTTCTCTATGTCTATCAGCTTTTGTTCTGGCATTTTGACCCCTCTATCAGTCACTGCTTGGTGGTCGTGCTGCCTCCCTGGCAAATGCAGATGGCATGTCTTCCCCAGGCCTGTGTTACTCCTGTCTTACCTGAGCCTATTTTCCCTTCTGCCGCTGGCCTAGCAGCCTTCCTTGGCTTAGAGCAGCGGTTCTCAGCCTTCCTAATGCCGCGACCCTTTAATACAGCTCCTCGTGTTGTGGTGACCCCAACCATAAAATTATTTCCGTTGCTATGTCATAACTGTAATTTTGCTAGTATTATGAATCATAAGGTAAATATCTGATATGTGACCCATCTGAAGGGGCCATTTGACCCAAAAAGGGTCATGAACCACAGGTTGAGATCCACTGGTTTATAGGACACGGCTGAGGAATGACTCCTCCCCTAGGTCCACTTCCAGCCCCCACCGCCATCCCGTCTACTCTATACTGTCCCAAGCTGAATCTTTCTTTTTTTCTCTATTCAAACAATCTCTGCCACGAAGTAGGATATCTAGACTGTCAAAATGTAACTGATCTTTTTTCACTTGGTTAGACTGTCTCCATTTAGTCTCTTCTTTTTCTGCCTCTTGTGATATTGTTCTGGTGCGGTTTCTTTCATTACTCCTTTTCTTCCTGCCTATGTGTTGTTATAATATTTTTATTTCAAGTTTAGCGTATTAATTAGTGTCTTGCAGCCACCTGAGAGATTGAAAGGCCCAATCTAAGCATAAAGTTGTACAAATTCACATAAAACATCCAGAGATATGCTATAACTCAAGTCCACCTTCACCTCATCTTTCATGTCATAAATGCCACGTGTATCACCTCCCCCGTGTCATTCGTGAAATCACTGGCTGTCAAACTTGTCTGTTTTAACACTCAATATATATATTTGGTTGTTTGTTTGTTTTTTTTTTTCAAGACAGGGTTTCTCTGTGTAGTCCTGGTTCCTGGAACTCACTTTGTAGACCAGGCTGGCTTTGAACTCAGACAGCCACCCGGCTTATATTTTGAAGAAGTTAAAGGGGGGAAAATCTTCTCTAGTTACCCTAAGCTTAGCATTCCTTGTACTCTTCCTTCCTGGGGACCCACCTCTTTTCAGTGCAGCATCCCACTACCCTTGGGAACGTCACGTGACCTTCCTTCAAGTACAGTTCGCCCAAGCACAAGCTCAGTTACTCTTTTATGAGAGAGCATCGCCACTGCGCCTGTTTTATTTATTTTTCAGGTAAGGTCTCACCATGTGGCACTAGAGGCTGTCCCCAGACTTCACAGTTCTCCCTCCCCTCCCTCCAAGAACTAGAGTTACAGGCATCCACTGCCTGCTCCACCTTCATCCTCAAATTCCAATAGCGAGTGTCCCTGGAAAGCCCTCCTACCAGTCTTTGCATCTGGGTCCTAGTTACAGTGCTTGTGGGGACATTGTGCCACACTGTCCACTAAGGGTGACTGTAACAGCAGCCCTTTCCTCAGGGAAATCCTCTCCCACCTGGCCTTGAGGTGGCCCCTCCGTGTCTCAACACAGTGGAAAGGCTATCAGTCACACCCGGTAGGCCAGAACCAGTGTGTGCATAGGCTAAGCCCATGACATACATGCTCAAAGGGGTTGGACTCAAAAAGGAGATATCCTGTAGGCTAGACACTGACTCACCCTCAGTAAAGCTATCATCTGAGGCCCATGGTGAGGTCCAGGTCGCTGCATACCCCTGCCAGGGTGATCAGCTGGCCCTCCAGGAATAGCTCATAGGCAAGCAACTCTCCCAGCTGTCACAAAGAGATATGGGGCCAGGCTCCACACCCTAAAGCTAAGTCTAACTATACAGTGGCTCCCTGATCACTGGGCACTGCTGACCGCCAGGATAGGGGTATGAGCCAGGTTCTGGCTGAAGACAGGTCGAAATGGAACCCAAGTGGGCCAGCACTCAGGACATTTCTTCAGGATAAGGATGCCCCACTCAACACCCTCAGTGATAGTCCTTGCCCTATGGGCATACTGGTTGCGCCCCTTCTATCCTGCTCCCAGCCCAGGTTCTATGAGGTCCCACTGAGTCTTCAGATTCACAGTGAGCCCCTGCCAGCCAGAAGCAAGTGGGAGGAGAGCAGACCACCCTCCCCCCATTGGATACATGCTTATCTATAGTAAGGGGTGGCATGGCCCTGAAATCTAGCCACCTCCCCTTTGCATCAGAGAAGGAGGAGGATGGCCTCATTTCTCTAGGAGGATTTGGGCCATTCCTAAGAAGTCAGCCTTCTGATCTCTGGCAGGTTCTACCTCATCAGCGGAGGGGTGCCTTTCATCATCTGTGGGGTCACAGCTGCCACAAACATCAGAAATTATGGGACCGAGGATGAGGACATGGCCTAGTGAGTACTCCCTACGTACGAACTGGTGAAAAGTTGGGGGCACTGCCCCGCTCTTCCAAGGGTCATCCCAGACACTCTAAGCCGAGGGAGGGCAGGCAAGGTGCCCACAGACATCTGTCATAATCAACCTTTGTTAGTGACTGTCCCCCAAGGTACCAGTGGTAAGCCATGGTTCTCAGGCCCCAGAAGGCCACTCCAATGTTGTGTCTCCCAAGCCAACCTCTGGGTGAACTCATGTTCTTCTCCCAACACGCTCAACTTCCCACTGACTCTATTTCCTTAGACACAAAAGGCCTGCTTTTCCTTAGAGTCTGGGATCAGATAGCAGGAGGTCAGCTGAGCACAGCGATCCCCTGAAGCAGAGACAGACCCAGTCCCACCCCTACAGGTGCCCAAAACCTCATGGCACCTTCATCATTCTCAGCATCCCCTGAGGATCTCAGGATGGCCAGCTCTCACTCAAGCCAGAGTGGGCACCATGCCCTCCTCATCAAAACCTGTTTCTACCCATTCCCTCCTTACCCAAAGCAATTTCCTGCCTCCCTCAGTGGGCCTCTGTACTCCATCCATTCAAGGCCTGCCTCTGCCCCATCCCCTCCTGAGGACTACCACACAGGGCTAACTAACCCGCTGGCTCCAAATATCCATCCAGACTGTAGTTCTGTTCCCATCTACCCAAACCTCATGGCTGACCAATCTTGGATGCGATGTGTTTCCTTATCATAAAATTAAAATATTCACTGGGCAAGGTGGTGCTCACCTGTAATCCCAGCACTTGAGGAGGCAGAGGCAGGCAGATCTCTGTGAGCTCGAGACCAGCCTAGTCTACAAAGGGAGTCCAGGACAGCCAAGGCTACACAGAGAGACCTTGCCTCGAAAAACAAAAAATATGGATGAATAAATAAATAAATACTCCCTTGTAGGAAACCCATCGAGTCCTGATAGACAGGGTAGGCAAGCATTCCAGCTCATAGCCACCCTTCCGTGCTTCTCCCTCCCTGCAGCTGCTGGATGGCCTGGGAACCCAGCCTGGGCGCATTCTATGGGCCGGCTGCCTTCATTGCCCTGGTCACCTGCATGTACTTCCTCTGCACCTACGTGCAGCTGCGGCGTCACCCGGAGCGCAGATATGAGCTCAGAGAGCGCACTGAGGAGCAGCAGCGGCTGGCAGTACCAGAGAGCAGCCATCGCCACGGGGTGCGTCCAGGCACACCGCCCCCCTGTGAGGCCCTGGCTGCCTCCCAGCTGCAGAACGAGCACTCCTTCAAGGCCCAGCTTCGTGCTGCCGCCTTCACACTGTTCCTGTTCACAGCCACATGGACCTTTGGGGCCCTGGCCGTGTCTCAGGGCCACTTCCTGGACATGATCTTCAGCTGTCTGTATGGGGCCTTCTGCGTGACCCTGGGACTCTTCGTACTTATCCACCACTGCGCCAAGCGAGAGGACGTGTGGCAGTGCTGGTGGTCCTGCTGCCCCTCTCGGGGAGATACCTCTGCCACCAAGCCCAGTGCCCACCCTACCCTTGACGCCAATGGGGATGCGCTGGTGCACACCGCCTGCCTGCAGGACTCACCATGCCCGGGAAAACTCAGAGGCTTTGGCCATCCACCAGCCAGCCACTGCAAAATGACCAACCTGCAGGCTGCCCAGGGCCATGTCAGCTGTCTGTCACCGGCCACCCCCTGCTGTGCCAAGATGCACTGTGAGCAGCTGATGGAGGAGGAGGCCCATGTGCACATGGCCGAGGAGGGTGCCTTTCCGCATGATCCCCACCTGCACGACCCTCACCTGCACAGGTGCCTCAAGGGCAGAACTAAGCCCCACTACTTCAGCCGGCACCAGGCAGCTGCAGCCGAGAGGGAATATGCCTACCACATCCCCTCCAGCCTGGATGGCAGCCCCCACAGCTCCCGTACGGACAGCCCCCCCAGCTCTCTTGAGGGCCCAATGGGGGTGCACACCTTGGCCTGTTGCGCCCAGGCAGACCCCTTCCCCATGGTCAGCCAGCCTGAAGGTGGAGACACAAGCCCTGGCCTCTACGGCTGTCCCTCACGGCTGTCCCCAGGCCCAGCCCACTTGGAGATGCTACGGAGGACACAGTCCCTGCCTTTTGGGGGCCCCAGCCAGAATGGGCTGCTCCAGGGTGATGTTCGAGAAGGCCTGCCGTTTGGCACTGATGGGACAGGGAACATCAGAACAGGACCCTGGAAAAATGAAACTACAGTGTAGCCAGGTTGGGAACACAACTCCTTCACTAGTGCCACCATTAGTCCCTGGAGGAGCTTCAGAGCAGAGAGCAGCCCTCTGCTACGTGAGGTTAATGGTCTGGGAGGGCCGTCAAATGACCAAGAGGTTCAGAAATGGTTCCCACCCCTCGGTCCTGATCTCTTTTATTGTGAAAGAACCCATGGGAAGAACAATGGGCCACATATGCCTCCACTGGTCCCAAGGCAGGAGGTAGATCTCCATAAGCTTGTCACCTGCTTTCTGTTTATAGCACCTTCTCTTGCTGCTGGGAGGGAAGCTGGGAGACCTGGTCAGAGACTCCAGCTGGCGTCACGTCTTTGGTATAAGTGTGTTAGGTTTTTACTCTAGAAACCACAGCCCTGGCCCTCCAGAGCACTCTCACACTGGGAAGCTTCCTGTCCCCTGCTGTCCTTGTGTTAGCTCACACCTGCATCTCCTCTGGGGGACCTCTGTCTACTCACCACCCACATCCTCCATCCGTATGGGACGTGGCCCTGGCCGGAAAGCCTCAGGTCATCTTGGCTGTTAAGGATGGGCCTGCTCTGGAGCCACGGGGAGAGAAAGCAACCAATGGCTGTGGGCTTCGGGGAGCTGGATACAGTCTCTCTGAGTCTATGCTTTTGAAAAATGCCCAAACACTGTTCGATGGAGACCTGGGGGCTTTGAAAGTCAGCCAGTATCGGACTGGGTTCTGTTCCAGTGTGAGCATGCAGTACTCTTCTCAGTCCCACAAAGGAGGGGCCAACTGGGGTGTGACGGGCATCCCACATGAAAGTTTCTTTTCCTTTTCTGCCGTTTTCATGAGCATTTTGGGTACAAAGCCCCACCTCAAAGAATAGATGTGACCAATGAGCCTTTTGTAAAAGTGTCTTGTCCTAGGGGAGGTCCTCACAGGGGTGAGAGCCCAGTTGTCCAGAGATGCCAATTGTAAGACTGTCCACCTTTCCTCTCTAGCGTTCTTCTTCCCGGTTTGTGGTCCATACGCATACATGTGTATACACACATGCATACATGCATGAACACACCACACCACATATGCACACACATAGTCTGTACACGCACACACATCTGTAAACACACACGCTTATACGTATTCACTCCATGCACAACACATCCCTGTGCGTCCACACACTTGCTCACCACGTACATGCACATGCCTGCACACCACCACACACACGCACACTGCAGTGTCCACATACAGACCCCCTGGTGTTTCACGTGCACCCACAAACAGTTGGTGCGCTTCATGGCCCTGAGCGCTGGGTTTCTTTGCAGCTGTGGGTGAGTCTCTGCGGCTTGCTTCACAGAGCACAGCCCTGCTGATAACCTCCTTAGAGAACAGGGCATGGGTCAATTCCTGGAGCCTTGGAGGCGGCACATTCTGCAGCCTGTGGTGGGCAGTGCCCTCTAGAGGCAGACACTCAGTATCTGAGTAAGGAGACTGGCAGGCAGAGCTGACTTTTTACAAGCTCCTATGTGGTGTCCGTTGCCCCTGAAAGCAGCATTCTGCACCCACTCTTCAGGTGGGGAGCCAGGGGCCGCCAGGACGTTTCAGCTCCTTTCACTATCAGACTTCTTTACCTGCTTGCATAGCTGACGCGTGCGGAACCCACCATGCTGTGTATGTACTGTAGATACTGACCATCCAGAGGAAAATACAGTGTTTTACATTGTTTGTCCTTGGTCAGGCTGGTCAATAGCATTCACGTGTGTGTTTCTCCATTTTGACAAGGAATAACAGCGTGGGAGAGGCTTGGACCCAAATCCAGGCTGCTCTCCTGGTCCCACCCCCGAGTCTTTTCTACCGTGGCGCTTCTGGAAGGACAGAGACACCTCTTCATTTAACCAAAGAAACGCAGCATTAAATATTGAACCTCGCTATGTTTCAACCTTGATTTAGATCCACGAGTCCACTTGGACCAACGCTGCAACAGCCTCCAGTTACATGCTGCTGGGGGAGTGTGATGATTTGTGGCACACTTGCTTTGTAGAGCCCTCCACTCAGAACCAACCTCCCTTAGGCTGCGAAACTAGTCTAGGCCAGCTTCGCAGGCCTTCCTTTGCCATGTCCTTTCCTTCTTTTGTGAAAATGCGCATAGCCGATGTGTAGGAGGCTGTGCTGTTCGTGTGCGCATTAGTGTGTGAATGTACACGCCGTGTGTGTGTGTGTGTGTGTGTGTGTGTGTGTGTGTGTGTGTATGTGTCTATGTGTGTGTTCTTCACCAGGGTAGCATGAGATACCCCCATGCACACTCACGCCAGCCTCCCTGCACAGGTAAGTATTTTGCGAAATTATATCCTCACCACATGGAGATGCTGTGACAACTTTAACACTCCATAATTACTTTAACTATGAGGGCTCTGCGTGTCTGGAGACCAGCAGTGCCTGCTATGTCTCCCATGGGGACGCTCCACAGCCAGACAATCTCACATCCGTCTGCAGAGGTATTGATGCTGCCCAGGCAGAGCAAGGATGCCTCTCAGATCTATGAGTGAGTCATCTCTGCAGGAGCTTTGAGCAGCTGAGAGGCCCCTGGAGTGACTAGAAAGAAGCTGAGGTGGGCTCCACGTTCCAGCTGCCCGAAACGGGCAGGCAAGACTGAAACACGGGACGACGGGGAAGACTCCAGGCCCCATCGCCAAAGGAGAGTCAGGTCAGAGGATGCAGTGAAGCCATCGGGGGTGTGGGTCAAGGAGCAGCCTTGGCTGGGGACCTGTGGGAGGATCCTTCTGTAAGAGCAGGAAGCCCTGGCTATTTCTTAATAGTACCTGGCAGAGGTGTCCCTAATGGTGGCTCTGCTACAGGCAGCCTGCCAAGTCCTTCCACCTGTCCCCCCACTCTTAGTGTTTTTGGGTAGATGCTACAGGCCTCGACCTACAGTAAGCTCTGAAATCAGCAGATCCCTCTGCAAGGACTACAGCCTCCAGGGCAGGCCCCTCACACTTATTCCTCCATGGTGTTGTCAGAATTTACATCTGAAGCCAGAGGTGGGGTTTTTTGTTGGTGGTGGTGGTGGTTTTTTATTTTTTTATTTTTTTTTGAAGCCAGTGGTTTATTTGCTATCATAAATATTTTTATTTTTTATCATAAATATCAGAGGATATTTACTATCCTCCAAAATGTCACCTGTTACTATTACAACTGGAACCAAAGAGTGCAGCCTATAAAGCAAAGTGTTTGGAGTCCTGTGACCACAACGGAGCCCAGCGGAGCCCAGCTCTGCATCAGCAGCATGGGGTGTGGCCAGGAAGGTAGAGGCAGAAGCTAGAGATAAAAGTGACAGGAGAAACTACTGATATGGTTGCTCATAGCAGTGATGTCAAGTTCCTCTTAAACTGAGTGTACATGATTTGATTCTGCACAGATACCAACACAATTGTGATATCACATTCCTGTCTCCACAAATCAAGCTCCAGCCATAACCAGCAGTGGCCGCTTTGGGGGAGGGGGAGGCACAGTAGTCAGGCCCGTGAATCAGTTCCCATGTCTAGTCCAACAAGACAGTGACTTGTCAGACAGCTGACTCAGAAAGAAAAAGCTTGGTTTGACCTGAGCTTGGATGATCTAGTCCAGGACCATGGTTTTGGGTCTAGGGTAGGGATACCAAACGGCGGCAACAGACATGTTGGGAAACACATGGAAGAGCAAACAGCATAAATCACACCAGAAAGAAGGACCAGAGACCTGAAATCCCTCTTAAAAGCCTGCCCAAGGACCTAAAAGCTTCTCGTCCCTCAAAGACCCCCCTAAAGGAGAAGAGCCATGCCCAACCCCAACAGTACCACCATGGAAATAAGCTTTGACACATGGACTTTTAAGCACACCCACCCAAACCACAGCAAGACACCCAGAAGGCAGGCCCTTTCCCTGACAGTAGACGTCCTTGGCCTGTCCTCAGACCAGATCTACCTGCCTGGGAAGGGAGGGTGGAAAGAGCTGACTCACCAGGGAGATCTGGAGGAGTCCTCATGCCTGTGTCTTGGTTTAAAGAGGACTCCTGGCCCTTTTCCAGGAACATATCCCTGTGTACCAAGACTCCCAGAAAGAGAGGCATTCTAGTGGGCTGCAGTGGGAAAGTGTTCAGAGAGGATGCTGGCAGGCAAGCAGGCACGGCAGGATGAGCGTCGCCATCAGAATTTACCTTTCTGGCACCCTGGTACGGTGAGTGCTCTCCACTAGTGTTTCCAGGAACGCACCTAAGCACTGTGGGATAGGTAAGTACCGTGTGACCTTTGTATTGTGAGAAACAGTGAGTGTAGCCAGGGCCCTGGGGAGCTGAGCCCTGGGATCTCTGAATGGTCATCGTCTGCATTTTCATGAGGGACATCTCCTGATTTGTACTGAATTCCACAGTCTGTGTCTCCAGAGGGGACCTGGGAAGGAGGCTATTTCAGGGAGGTGGCCCTGGATGGGAGGCAGATGAGGGAAAGGGCTTCTAAACAAGAACATGATGTCATTACAGTTTGGACAACTGAATCAGGCAAGGTCAGTGACCTGCATCAAACTGTCTTGTTAGAAATCTACCCATTATCACTCATCACAGCCCGAGAGGGAAGACTGCAGTCGAGACTAAAGGAAGAAACAGTTCAACTTTGAACGCTCAGGGTGAGGAGAAAGTGAGACCCCAAAGCAAGTGCCTGGAGTCACCACCAGAATGCACTCCCTAAGCTAGTCACCAAGATTAGAAGTGAAAAGGCTCAACCTTACCCATGTCAAAATCTCCTCCAGCAAGGTTGAGAGAAATCTGGTTCTGTGGCAGGGGTGGCTTAGTGACCTGAGTCTCTTGGTGGTACGTGACCACAGGTGCCTTCAGCAGTTCCCCTGTCCTGGGAGGAGACGTGGGCTGCAGAAGATGAAGCTAACCAGAGAAGCCCTCCTGAGGGCTGGTGGAGCCAGCAAAGACAAGTAGCCAGCCTCACCCTGTCTTCTGCTCTCCTCGCTGCCCACCACCCCACACCCAACCCACCACCCCACACCCAGCCCACTGGCACTCCATGCCCCTCCCTCCAGGAGCATCAGCTCTAATCCCATGCACTGCTCCCCGCAGAGACTCA